TCACTCTTTTAATTTATCACCAATTCACACTCACCGTCTCAAATTGACATCTAGCAATATATCAAGGCAACGGATGTACGAAAAATGTTACGTGGTATGACAAAACCAAACATGTTCATTTACCATGAAACTATAATCCCTTCGTCAGTATGATTCGATCAATTACGAGATATGAAAGTGTATCAATCTCGATTATCGATCATAGCTTTCACTCCACTATTAAGTCAATATAAGTCGAAAACTCCCTTTCGATTTATGAGTACGCCTTGGGCAAGGATTTCGTTATCGACTTAATTGAATGAAACGCAGATTATAATCTCTTACTATCTAAGAGTGACGAATCATCTATTAGTCATTCACAACCTTCATATGATTCTTGACATACCCGAACGATACCCTATTAGCGGCCCTTGGCAGAGCAACATCCAACACCGTCAAAGTATAACCGTTCTCATATAAGGTACTATGACGACCTCAAATCAAAAGGACTAATCCCACTACCGAACGTTAGAGATTAATCACTGACACTCAGATAGTTATTCATGTTGAATCTCTCAGCGGGTCTCTAATGTTTTGTTCAATAACAAAATATCCACGTGTTCATTTAAGTGTCACTACACTTTAACTTGTGAGATCAGCTACTTACTTCACAAGTAAGAAATGTCACACGTGATGGTCTATCCGTAATAAAGATATCCGTATCTCGTCATTACTTACGACTATAGACGATTTAAGATTCAATCATATGTAATTTGTATCTCACAATTACAACTCTTTGTGATTAACAAATTACGAAAATTTGAATATACGGACTCTATTATTTAATTTAATTTGTCTATTAATTAAATAATAGATCTGTCATTAAATTGCATTAATTATATATCAAAAGTATTTATATCCAAAGTTGATTGTACCTAGGATGTAATAAAGATATCCGTATCTCGTCATTACTTACGACTATAGACGATTTAAGATTCAATCATATGTAATTTGTATCTCACAATTACAACTCTTTGTGATTAACAAATTACGAAAATTTGAATATACGGACTCTATTATTTAATTTAATTTGTCTATTAATTAAATAATAGATCTGTCATTAAATTGCATTAATTATATATCAAAAGTATTTATATCCAAAGTTGATTGTACCTAGGACATAGCACTTACAAGTCTAATGTCAACTACTAAAGTCTATGCATGTGTTATATTGTAGTCTCAAGTAGGGGTGTAAGCGGTCCGATTTTATCAATTTTTGATAGATTTTCAAACCAAACCGTTTAAAACGGTTTGAGAAAAACTCAAATCTAAACCAAACCATTTTGAATGGTTTGAAAAAAAACTCAAATCTAAACCTAACGGTTTGGTCCGGTTTTAAACCGTCGATTTCGTCATATATTTTTTTGTCCGTCTACTTTTATGTCATTAATTCATTGAATTCAATATATATTTTATATCTTACTAGTAATAAATCTAAAACAAACTAAGCTCCTGTTTGAACCAAATTTTTGGGATAAAAAAAAGAAAATTTGGACCGTTATCCCACAAGTCAAGCCACCTTTGTTGACCTGCTGTTTCATGTGTGGGACCCAGTCTCCTCTCCAACAGTCAATTTTCTCATTATGATGAAATGAAAAATATGGCTCAAACATGGGCTAAATATATCTACTATAAATTTAAATACCAACTAAATCAAAGTGAAATCACAATTAACTAAAGCATATTTTTTTTATTTT